TTTTAGTAGAGACGGGGTTTCACCATGTTGACCAGGATGGTCTCGATCTCTTTGACCTCGTGATCCACCCGCCTCGGCCTCCCAAAGTGCTGGGATTACAGGCGTAAGCCACTGATCTGAGACTATTTCTAAGCAGAATTGTATGGCAGTCAGACAGACCTGGGTTTGAGTTCTGGCCCTGCCACTTACTAGCCATGTGACTTGAGTGAGTTTACACTTCTCTGAGCTTCAGTCTCTTTACCTGTAGGATGGGGATAACAATACCTACTTCATGGCACCTGGTCCTTGATGAATGGCAGTCATCGTCATTTCTAATCCTCCTAACAACACTGTGAGAAAGGGATTATTTAGCTTCATTGTATAAAGGAGAAAATTAAGGCTCAGGGAGGTGAGGTACTTGGCAGATCTCAGTGGGTACATGTCAGCTCCAGGAAAATAGAGACTACATCTGTCTTGGTCACCATTATATTCCCAGTGCCCAGAAAATTGTCTGGTACATAGTAGAAACTTAATAAATACTTGCAAATGAATAAATTCTATCTCACTGGCTTCAAAGACTATGTAATTTCTATTTGATCTTCCAGGACAGGGGGTGTGTCTGGGCTAAAGATCTCAAAGAAGGGTGTAGGAAGCCTGTGCAGAGCTGAGACCCAAAATCTGGCTTCCCGATTCCTGATTCCTGCTCTTTGTCCATCCCTGAACTGCCTCCAGTTGGGAAGGCTGAACTTCCTTCAGTCTAGGATCTACTGTATTCTCCCACCTTCTAGGTTCTCCTCACCCTTCTCTGGCCAGGCCTTTGCCTCCTTTTCATCTGCTTCTTCAACCCCCCACCACCACCACCACCACAGTCACAGCTATGAAGGCCTGGGGATGCTGACCAATGGGCAGTACAACCTCCAGGTCCTGCATGCCCCGTATGTCCAAGGACTGGGCCCTGCCCTGCCACCCTACCTCCCACACCGGCAGCCTCCTCTTCCCCCACCTCCTCTATTCCTGGTGAGGGTAAACGACAGGAAGAGCATTTGACCAGAGTCAGCAACTTCCTGTGTAACATTGGGCAAGTTGTTTAATCTTTCTAGAACTTGGTTCCTCATCTACAGACTGGGTAAATTCACCTACATCTTTCCGAAGACTGTTGCAAAGATTAAAGGAGGTAATTGGTATGAACCAGCCAGGTAGGCGATTAGATGCTTATTCATGTGAGAAGCTAGTGATATTAGCATCACTTTGCCTAGCTTTCCTGCTTCCTGTCCAGACAGCTGTTCAGTTGGATCATTCACCTGTGTTTCTGGTGGACAGGGGTCGAGGGTTCCCCTGGCACCCAGAAAGCTAGAAAAATATCACTTAATATCTGTGTTACTTGGGACAAGTCTCCACATAAGCCAAGTGGGGATAAAGATCTTGAACATTTAAGGTAATATAAAGATTCAGGTGATAAAAAATACAAAAGCACTACACAATGTCTGACACAAAGGAGATTCTTAATGAGTTTCAGCATACTGGTTGTTGACTCTCAGAAATAAAAATAACAGCTACCAGATACTGAGGGCCGGCTATGTGCCAAGTACTGTATAACAATTCTGCAAGGTATGTATTATCCCCATTTCTGTTACAGAAGCTGGGACTTGTTCAAGGTTATAAACTAGAAAGTGGCAGAGCTGGTGGGACTGCAAGGCATGACTCTTTGAGCCCAGGGTGTAAGCTCTTATCTGTGTGCCCTGTTCCCTCAGCTAAGATGTCCTTAGCTCAGTCTTGAAGTAGGCAGGATGGACCTAATTGGCACAGTATCTGATTAAGAACAGTTAACTGCTTGAAGGAATGACACTCCCTACCCACCTCAAGCTTATAGTGGACGTTCAATATGTTAAACAGGAAATGTTTGCAAAAAGTATGCAGATTTTTCAGTCAATATATACTAAGGACATTCATTTTCTTTTGTTTACTCAACATTCTTTTACTGGTTAACATTTGAAGTGCTAAGGGTGTATAAAGCCACGTGGTCCCTGCCCTAAGGAATTCATAGTCTGAAGGGGGAAAACAAAAACACTTAATCAGCATGTACACAAGTACTCAAATATGTGTACAGTAGGTGCTCAAACTATATGCAGTAGCTCCACAGCTGATGAATGACATAGATGATCCTCCCATCAGTAGATTTCTGATATATGTGTACAAAGTACTGGTTTGATACTTATTCAAAGTACTGTAGTTGCAATGAACCTATTCAGAAACTGCTCAAGGAATATGCACACGATAGGACCAAATGTACATAGAGTGGGTACCAAATGCACAGGGGCTATACACAATAAATACAATCAAAGTACATAGATGTTTGGTAAGTACACTGCAGGCTCACAAATGGGCAAACAGGTGTTTTACACGGTAGGCACTGAATAAATACGCCATTGCTAAACATCCGTAGTTAAAATATACATACACACAGGCTTATTTTGTAGGAGTATATGCCACAAATGTGTACACGGTAAAAGTGAATACAGAACAGTTGAAAGCAGTTATTAAAATGCTGACTGCCAGTGACTTTTGGGGGGTAAGAATGGAAACCCATTTCTCTACTTGTAACCTTGGATGAAATAAAGACTTCCTTCATTTACTTGGGACCCAGGATTCTAAAAGTCCATAATCCCCGGGGAGTAAGCAGCTGCCTTCCTTCCTTATTTCAAAGCCCAAGAGGTGTCAGTGTCTAGAGCTGGAGCCTGGTACATCTTCCCCCCAATCCCGTGGGCCAGCAGAAGGGGTCCTTTGCAATCAGCCTCCCAAAGCCGCCTTCCGCGGCCCACACCGGCAAGACCAGGGAGAAAAGACAGAGAACGCTGGGGCGGGGCTAGCGTAGCGACCAGGTTGAGGTTTGCGAGGGAGTGCCGGTTTAGCACCACCACCCACGGACACCCGCTCCTCTTCCGGTCTGTCCATAACGCGCATGCGCATCACTGGCCTTTAAACGTGCACCGCCGGTCCATCCGGAAAGAGGAACCGGCAGACTAATTACAATCTTGTTCCTCCGCCGTTGCACTGAACTATTTTCTTTCAGTTGGGGGTTGTACTTTTGAGTAACCCCTTCCAAATAGAAATCCATACCAGCCTATTTAGCTCGGTCTCCACTATATGAAGGTTTCCTAGGGCTTGGTGTGACGCAAGGCATACGAGGCTCTGAAGGACACACCGCGGAAGGATCCGGTTTGTTGTGGTGTGGGGAGGGGGGAGACGCTGACAAACCAAGATGGCGGCGGCGGCGATGAAGGCCGCGGTGTTTGGGAGGTAACTGGTGGCGAAGGCTGCGGTAGTGGGGAGGCAACGGCGCAGTTTGGAAGAAACGGAGCAGAACGAAGAGGTGGTAGCAGTAGCATTAGCCTGAGACTCTCAGAGCACGACACCTACACGCCCCCCTAGGCCTTCGGCGGGCGGCGGCTGCGCTGCTTAGGGCCTAGCCTCCGAGCATTGCCTCGGTTTCAAATAGCGGCGGCGCCATGAGTCCTTAAGGGCGGTCCAAGCCCTCCTGATCCCTGGCCCAGACCTCGGGCCCACCATGGATCCGGGGTCCGACGATTTTCTACCGCCCCCGGAGTGCCCGGTGTTCGAGCCTAGCTGGGCCGAGTTCCGAGACCCTCTTGGCTACATCGCCAAGATCAGGCCCATCGCAGAGAAGTCGGGCATTTGCAAGATCCGCCCACCCGCGGTAAGCCCCGGGGCCGGTTTTCGCCGGCGGCGAGGCGGGGAAGTCTGGGGCGGAGGGCAGCTCGAGGGGGGGAGGGGGGGGTGGCTGGGACCGTTGTGGATGTGGCGCGTATCGGAAAAAGGTGTTGGGCCAGGGGGTCCTCTCATGTGAGGCCCACAGGTGACCTGGAGTCAGAGATCCACCCCCACCCCCGCTCTTCAGAATCACTCCAGGTTTAAGACAGGGATTCCTAGTGGGCCGGGGAGAGTTCCCAAAGAGGCACCCCGCACATCTCTTAGTTAACCCGGGCTTCCTACGTTGACGCTGTAAAAATAAGGCGTTTCTCCAGTCTGTTGTCATCACTTCCCTTAAGGCAGGCAGCATGGTATAGGATTAATAGAAAGATCGCAGCCCTGAAGAGAGACAAATTTGAGTTCAAATCTGCACTTTGAAGCTTAGCAGCTGTGTGACCTTGGGAAAGTAGAAGTAATCTCTCCGAGCCTGTAAAATGGGTCCCAGGAATGGTTATTTAGAGGATGGAATTAAACTAGGTAGCGTCTGTGTGTAGTAGGCACTAGATAAGTGGTAATTATTGTGACTATGAGGGTGTTTGATGTGGTCATTGGTTTATTCCTACGTAGGTTGACTCATATTTACTCATACCCTGCTAGGCCAATTCATCTGTGATAATATCCTGGCCTGCTGGACCAGTCAGGAAATCAGTCTCACAGGGATTTCTCTATCTGTCTCCCTTAAGGTGGATTCAGGGAATTGTCCCCTTCTTTTCCTTGTTGACAGCTTTTTCTGCATATCATCCCCCAGACTTGACTTCTGTGGAGATGATGTTTGGACCTGTCAGCTTGGTGGTGGGGTGTGAGTCCTTCTCAGAAGATTTCTGCTCTGCTCTGGTCCAGGATGTAGGAGATCCCAGAGGATAGGGCACTCTTGGGCCCCCAGCACAGAATGGAGCCATGGAATTCTGTCCCCTTTGGAACATGATTCCCAGGGGTCAGCAACAAAGGCCGTAGCTTTCTTCCTAGGCCTGGCTTCAGGCTAGAAGCCCTCCAAGGGCTAGGGCAAGCTGCTGCCTTGCTGGCGTGGTGGAAAATGATGATAACGTTGTTCAGTGATCACTTGGAACTCCAAGGGCAGAAATTGAGCTTTGCTGGAAAAGGGTGTTTTTGAGTGGGTGTCTCCTGGCTGAAATCGAATAGGAAGCTTTATTCCCACCTGAGGAGGGCACCACAGTTCTCCTTATCCAACTTAGTGCTTTCTGGTGCTCAGCCACATATCTAGGATGGTTTCAGATAGATCCTCTAGGAGGTGTTGGGTAAACTAATATCTTCCTTGTTGGAGCCTGGCCACAGATCTCTGAGGTATCCTTGTCCGTGGTGAGGGAGTGGCAGTAGGTAGAGGGGTCAGGAAGGCTAGTGGAAGGGAGAGGCAGGAGTCCTGGGCAGCCCCAGGGAGGCACTCCCTGAAGTGGTTGGGCAAGCCTGTGGGAAAAAGAGGCATAGCTGACATAGGGGGTAGCTGAGGCCTGAATTCCGTTTTTCTATCTTGGACTGACTTAGGCTGGCCTTGTGCAGGTGTTGTTACCCTGCTGCTTTGGGGGAACCAGAAAGGAGAAGAGTGACATGTCGCAGGTGTGCGTGGCCAGAAGGAGGCCATCCTTTGTTATGCTTCTTTTCACTGCTCAACAGTGTGCTTCTCTCTAATCCAGGAGAGACCTGGCTCCTGGATTAGAGGGAGCCAGGTTTTGTTTTGTCCTTCTCTAGGGCGGCTCCTAGGCCACCTTTAGGCAGCTGGCCTTCTTCTGGTTGAAGTTTGAAGTACTCACTCAAATGATGCTTGGGCCCAGGGTGGGAACCTGTATATGGGTGGGTGCCTGGATATAGGAGGTTTGCCGGAGGAAGGATCGTTTGGGGCCCTAATTGCTAGGCAGGTGACTGCTACACTTGGGAAAGATGGGTGGGAGGAGAGTGTGGGTACCCTGAGTAGACCCAGGGGAGTTTGGAAGGATCTTGCTTTCTTCATCAGGTAGCCAGCCTTTTTTATCACAACATCCCGTTAATACCAACATACTGAGCATTTGGCATACAGTAGCCTGGAAATGAAGGCAGGCGGTTTGCAGGGCCCTCCTAAGTATCTGTTGCATCCATGGCTCCTGCTGTAGCGTTCCAGGGCTGCCATTTCCTGTCAGGTGCTGATGTTGCTCTGTTTGTCTAGAACTTGATTCAGCAGAAAAGAAGGGTACCCGGGGTTTTGGGTTTGAGCACCTTTTTACCTGGGTTGCCTGTGCTGAGGGGAGTGCCCTATACTGATGAGAGGCAAGAGGGCATGGGGAGCTTGTCTGGATTTGAGCCATACCATTTTGGACTGCCCTTTTTTTTTTTTGCCCCTGCTTACTGAGCACCAGATGTTTGCCACCTGCTTTGGCTGGTAGGGGAAGGGGAGTGTGGTCTGTGTATGCATGGAAGTATGAGTGCTCTGGCCCATATTCTTAAGAGTGTGTGTGCAGAAGAGGTCAATAGTTTTTCTTCTCTTTTACTGTTGCCCCGCTTCCATATGTATGCATGTATGTTTGAACACTGATGTCTGGTGTAGTGCAGAGGCCTTGGATCAGAGGTCAGAAGATGTGGGTTCTTGGCTCCACCACTAACTCAGCATGTAATTTTGGAAATTTCACTTATTTTCTCTGTGCCTCACATTCCCTATCTATAAAAGCAGAGCATTGGTTTAGGTTACTTTAGGTTCATTTTCCCACCCCAGCAGCAGCCAGGGCTCTGGGAAAGGGGTGTTAGGGAGTGTGTTCTTCACATCTGACCTTTGGGCAAGACAGAACAAGCTCCAACTTGGCAGGGCAGGGTTTCTCCCACTTTCATGATCTTTCCCTGACTTCCCTTACCAAATCCTCCCATTCTTTGCCACCAAAGTCCAACATCCCAGCACTTACCCCACCCCCTGGGGCTTCCTCCCCTGCCTCTTCCTGTACCAGGCAGGTGTATGAGAGGATCCACAGGAAGCCCTCCAGACTGGGTGAGTGTTATACATACTTGCTCCCTGTTCCTGCAGTGTCTATCTCAGGCCCTTTAAACTGAGAGAACAAACATTAAAGGCCCAAACCTTTACATCCTGCCAGAATCGGAGCTGAGCTGCCCTGCATGTGTATTGTGAGGGTGGTCAGCCTTAGACGTCAAGTCAATGATGACTCCTTTGAATAACATTTTCATTTGAAAACTAGTTTTAATTTTCCATATTGGTCTTGTGAGGAAGCCAGGGCTAGAATTCATATTCCCACCTTACAGATGAGAAAATAGGTTCAGAAAGCTAAAATCTCATAGCTAGTAAGTAGCAGAGCTAGAACATGAACCCATATCTTCTGACTCTAGATCCTGTGTGCTTTCCAGTACTCCAAGGACTGTGTGTCCTATAGCACATCCCTAAGGGATTAGGAATTAAATGTGGATGTGGAGAAGGTTTATGGTCAACAAAACAGAGGTTCCATCTCTTAATTTCTTGAAATCCTGGCACTGTACTGTTGGGTGGGACTCAGGGGAAGTTTCCTAGGGACTGTGCATGGGGCCTTGGATGTGGACTTGAGGGGCTGCTAGACTCTTGTGAGTTCTGGGGGGATGTGAGGGTGGGTGGTTGGGTAGGATGTTTGTAGGTAAAGGGTCTGGAGTAGCTAGAGGTCTGGGAAGGTGCGAATAGGATTCTGAGCTGCTTTTGATGCCTTCTGGTCTTATACAATGGTGAAATAACTCAAGTCTCTTTCCCCTCTCTACTCTCTTAGGACTGGCAGCCACCCTTTGCTGTGGAAGTGGACAACTTCAGGTTTACCCCCCGAATCCAGAGGCTGAATGAACTAGAGGTGAGAAGACTAGCAGCTGGTGGCGGGGTTGGGAGAATGGATACCTGAGCTCTAATCCCACTTCCTTATAGTTTCTCTGGCCGAGGTACTTTACCTAGCTAGGCCTTTATTCTCTCCTCTCTGAAATTGCATTTCTTTAGTGTACCCAGGGCATGGAAGAAGCTTTAGAGGTCTAAATATAACCAAGAGCCAGGGGCATTTAGCATTTGTGATTTGATAGCCTGAAGGCTGGGGACATATATGTCACAAAGGTCTGTTAGTTCTGAAGCTCCCCTGTGAACTAGCCTACCCTAGTTGAGTCAACAAAAAGGAAATATGGAACTGGCTGATACGCTTTCTTCCTTGGCCAGCTGAATGTGGCTTCATATATACAATTCGTCCACAGCCCTATGCTTTCTACTTTCCTTCCATGGGTGCTTGGTAGGGTGGGAGTTGAGATAGATGGGCAGAACAACACAAGAACTGGCCTCTGTGAAGGCTGGAATGGTTAGAGACTTGGCCAGGGGTCAAGCAGGTAGGATTTTCCTTCTTCCTTTTGTTCTGTACAGGAAGTCCAGGCTCTTTTCATGGACAGGTGGGTCTCCCCCCTCCCCTTGAGAATGCTCTGGGGTAATGAGAGTAGGGTCCCTAAAGCCAGTTCCAGGTAAGATCCTGGAGTTTTCCATGGAAGCTCTAGGTTAGGTATGTGCTGCCACTCCCTCCCCCATTATTG